ATACTCGACGGAGTCGCGTGCGCTCATGTTTAGCGCTACAGGTCAACCACAAAACATACTCTATTCCTATCTTCATAACCATCGAACATAGGCCTCACACAATCCACGAATGCGGCTCCACGGGCCCGTTCATCCTTAAAGGAACTGGCCATTGTGACGCATAGATTATGAGCGACCTGCGTGGCAACTACCTCCGATGGCTGCTATTCGAGAGTAGCGCAGAAGCCAGAGAAGATTAGGTCAAGCGTAGATAGAGGCAGACCCTGGTTGGTACTTGGACGAAGGTTAAGAATTGCAGTCTCTTTTCCCTGCCATTTGGCCCAGACGGCTGGAGTTGCGTAGTGACTAGCCGATGGTGGATATTGTTCGTCTTCTAGCATCTCTTTGTAGACGTTGGCAATCTTTTCAAGTCGACCATTCACATTCTGAACGGCAAATCTGTAATCCTTTTGGTCCCCTATATCCAAATCTCTTGATTCACGGCACGATGCAATAGGAATGGTTACTCACGGGAGTCTAAACGTTGGAAGGAGTCGTTACCATCGAGCATTGAGATAGGCTCCTGGAGCACTTCGAGTGTTGTGGCGCGGGGCGGGTCCTCCAGGATCACGGTGCACAAACTGGGTAATGTGTTGTTGATAGATCTCCTGGTACGGTCATCCACCAAACCAAACTCCTCGAACAAAGATTTCAAGTTAGCTCGCAGCTCACGTAGCCGCGCAATGTCCTTCTGGAAGGACACCTGTTGCCGCTCTTCCTTTGAAAGCTGTTTCTGCTTTTTGGCTGGTTTACTGCCATCGTCTCCTCCATGTGCTCGCTTTCTACCATCGTATTGAATGGCATCGGCCATGCTGATGCTGGTGCTTGTACTGGCTTCTTGGCTGGACATGGTTGAGTTCAAGGCGTCACTTATGTGGTCAGTGCGACCAGTCTATTCCATCTAATAGTGCGAGTATGGATTCTGAGAATACTAAAATCTCATCTCTCTAAAGGGTAGTCGATAGCAATATCTTGCTTGTCTTGTCATAGGTATTATAATTTGGCTCGCCTTTCTCCTGTAGAGGAGACGAACGGAGGGATCAAGATAGTAATTTGAAAGAAATCGGGGGCTTCGTCCGGGGACGATCTTTATTCCGCCCAATAATGACAGAAAAGAGTCGCAAGCGTCACTGAATTAGCAAAGCCAGTTAAACCCAGAGAAGCCGGACCGAGTAATATACCTAAGTTCTGACTATTAAGATTGGGTACATACAACGCCATCTTTGTACACCAGGGAATCAGCGCGTGGGTATGACCATTAGCTTCTAGTCTAGTATTGAAACGACCTTCCGGGTAAACCTGACCATAGGGAATTAAGGATTATTATCTTATTGGAGATGGTCGACAGACAACGATGAGGGCAGAACGAGGGACATGTCTCTATGAGGTAGTATAACCAGATATACATCTTCATTAACCTGATTTATCTTTAAATTCTTAGCTTCCTCTAAATCTCATGTTGTCGCACAATTATCTCGGCCTATGCAATATCAGTACTACACTCTGAAGTCGTGACTTATGGTACCAATCTGTGGCCGACTCTCCGGGCAGGCGGGTCGCGAATTCACGGCTCGATCGGCCTCTACTAACGTTTACAGAGTGAGTGAATAAAAACGTATAGCCAAATACATACAAACATTCCATCCAAAAACATGGACGTCGTGCCTGGTGAGGGCCGGTAAGACCTTCCCTTACGGTCAGGAATTCAAATAGGATCCGTAAACAGTCTAACCTATAACCCTCAAGCCCAGGAAACCTTCAAGTATACCAATAATAGCACTCGAGTGGTCGGTAGCATTCGAACCCTTGGATAGCACCTTTTTTGCCTTTGTTAATAATGCCATCAACTCATTCAAGACATCCCCGCCAAGCCCAGGTAACATGGACACACGCTTGCCTCCAATCATCCCAGTGAATAACTCTTTACCAAATCCCACATCGTCCCATTCCGTACCAGGTTCTTCATCGGCACCCGTATCGCTAACCATGGCTTGGTTGTGCCATATAGCTAGTTGGGTCACACCGAAGATAAGGACAGCCTCTAGCGATTGGCGTAAAATCTGGGTATCAGATTCGGAGTCGAAGGCTGGAATAGTGATCGAGGTGGCAAGCTTTGCTATACCAGTGGACTTGAAGTGCTGCAATAAATCGACAATTCCATTACCTAGCTCTAGGAATGTACCCATTGTAGTACCCTCTCCAATAGAGACTTTCGTGGTCTGTATAGGAATTAGTTTAGACTAGCGGTAAATTTTATATACATACCGGAGCTATTTGAAGACTGGTCGGCCAATCTTCTGGTTCGTTGGTGATGACTTCATCACCTCTCGTGAGAATGACCAGAGTCGAAACAATATTTCGAACAATAGAATGGAGCCTTTGGGTCAAACTTGCTGAAAAAGGCCGCTTCGATACGTCGAGAAGCTCTAGAGCAGATGCCATATTGACACCTTGCCCTATTTCGGTTTCCAGTGCTCTTCTCTCATCCGATCGAGTTGCCTCGAAGAGGCTGGTGAGATGATTTGGGTGGGACAATGCATAGTTGAGGTGTTGGAGTAATATGAGTGCTTTCTCGGCGAAGATTTGGAGCATCGAATTGGCTTGTGCGTCTGCTGCGGAGTGAGGATTGACACCGACTGACACGGCATGGAATAGGCCTGTCACACCCTCTAGCTCCTCAATGGTGCCGCTGTTCAACGGGACCCCGACGTTCCACTCAAGTGCGCGAGAGATTTGGGCACCATAGAATTGTATGAAGCTGGCTACTTCTGTTTCGATGAAATACCCACTGCTTGGTCCTATGACATCGACGAGGCCGGTTACAATGGACAGAATTGTGCACCAGGCTTGATGACCAGGATTTCGATCGCCAGGTAACTCGGGATGGAATACGTTAAGGGTGCCGACTGTCAAGTCATTGGCAATGCTAATATTGCAATATGCGGGCATTGCTGCAGACAGTGCTAGAGTTTCCGCAGAGCTATCCATGCTTGATAAGCACAACTGAATACCAAGCATATGCCTAGCATAGAGTGGGAAACGTTGATTTCTCAGGTCATCTCCGTTCATGAGATTGCCACCGATATCACATTTGGTAAGGAGTTCAAGACTTGATCTAGCCAGATTGAGCTCTTGCACCCTTTCAAGCCAAAGCTGTGGTGATGTATGCAACTCAGGTCTCGTCGATTGCTCAAAGACAGCGACCAGAAGTTCCATATCCCGATCTAGCTCGACAGATTGCTGGATCTTCGCCATATCGATCGTATTACTGAGTCCAACAGAAACGAACCCCACAATAGCAAGCATTGCAGATGCAATTACCGCAGTTTGTTCTGCAGTGAGCATCTCTCTCTTCATGAAGAGGGTTCTTGCTTTGCGTGTACAGAAATAAGCGATTTGAAGTATAGTTCGATGGAAGCCCGAGTTATCGTTCGAGTAAGCCTCCTGTAGGGATCGAAGGGGAGAGAATGTGTCACTCATTATAATGGCATGCACATTTTGCAGCAGTTTGGTAAAAACTTCAACCGCTTCTTTGCTTGCGGTCAGGGACAGGGGCCAAGTTGATTCTAACAGGGCCAGTAGGACACCAAGACGTTCTGTGTGGACAGTAATCATGGTTGAGCCTCCCCTCTCCTCCTGGGCAATTTTTTGAGACACCAAAACGGACAGGCGAAGTAACTCGTGCCTGAGTTTATCGTCACCGTGCAAAGTGGCACCTCCAGCCTGTAGAAATCTCTTCCAAGCGCGTGTGAGTTCGATCTGAGAATCTACAAGGGACCAATTGCAGTTCACACTTTGTAGTTCGCTCACAAATAAGCGCAGTCTGGTAGCAGTTTCACGATCCTTGAATTGAGGGAGCAACCGAGGCTCGAGTAAATGAACTTGATAAAGATACTCGGCCCCGAAAATACGCTGGGTGATCGGAAACGGTGATTGTATGGCCTCGAGAGCAAATCGAGGGAAAGCATCGTGGAAATATTGATGTACACGGGTGTGTAGCTCTATATCGAACGAGCTATCAATAGCCTCTTGGAGATGCTGCGATAGTGAATTCCCCACTTGTAGGAAATTCTTCAATGCCATTAAACTAATGGCTGTTGTATTGCTAGGCCGCTTCGGCAAAAGCTGGGAACGTATTTCGATGGCGAATATTTCTATCACATAGGCCTGGATCAATGTATGATAAGCAGACGTAGTGATCCGAACGTGTTGTATTTTGTCTGGTCTGTCGACATCCATCCGATCCCCATCCATATCAACCCTTTTGGGAGATAACACCTGACGTAAGACCCATACCATTCGAGTCCAGAAGGCCGTGTCCTTGCGGACCGCTTCAAGTGCCGCTGAGTGCTTAAGCTTTTCCCTCCAAGCAGCGTTGATAAAGCGCATGATAGCACAGAGGATGGCAGAATCTTTCTCCCAAAGCCCTTCCCAAGTAGGTGCGGTCTGTGTAGCAATATTGAGAGCGCTCCTAGTTGCATTTGAACGATTTGTAGAACTGGAGTTGTCTTTGACGGCTGGACCTTCTGTACTAGGTATGTCGGTAGACATTTCTCTTGTGTAGAAGGATCCTGTCACGAATGAGGTGGCCAAAGCGGGCTGATGCTCCACTGTGGTTGCCATAAAATTCCATATGGACCTTCGGAGCCGGGGATTTTCGTAGACATTCTGAACAATGTTTACGAGCGCTCGAGTCGCATCTTCGGCATCCGTCATATACGTGACAAGGCTAGGCGGCGATGGTTCTATTTCTGAGAATGCGAGGGCTAGAGAGGAAAGCAAATCGGTTGCATAAACGGGAATGTGTGGGCCCATGTCATTTGTTGTGACGAAATTCACCAAGGCATCGATAGGTATTGACTTTGCTTGCCTTGACGAAACGGAAAAGTTGAGTGAAGTACCCGCACATAATCGGTGCTCGAGGAGACTCTGGCGGCGATGCAGCGGTGATGACTGCTTATATGCAAGCAAAATCCGTGAGAGAAGGAGAAAGGTCTGGAGCAACCAAACAAGTTCCGCATCTTCGGAATCGCGTTTTGCGGACTTGAGTGCTCGCGACATGTCTTGGCCGACAGTAAGCGCGTGAACTAAGGGCGCAAGTGTCGCGTTGGTCGCATTCAACAGGAACACCTCCAGCAAATACGTAGCTATGCTCCGGAACACTGCTCCATTGGTTGAGTTCTGTGGGAGAGTTTAATCGATGATTATCCGTTATTGTCCAAACTTACCGCTGCTTCATCACTTCCTGCAGTCCAATTCTTCAAGATGTCATAATAAATCTCTGCCACCCTCCTACCAATCTCAAATCTATCTCCAAGTCTTTTATACTTCCAACCAGAATATTCACACCAGATATTTGTGTGCACGAATCGAATCGCATTGAGTAGAACTTGGCCTCGAAGTTCGGCTTCGACATCCGTCCCAAGATCACTTTCGATGGCATTGTCGAGTAATGAACGGGTAAGGGAAATGATGGAAAGAGTTATGCTATACGACCCAGTAGCACGCTCTGCGGCCAGCACTACGGCTGTTGTAGATTGTACCATTATACCAGGCTGGGGGATAGAACTTTGTAGATATTCTTGAGAAGTGGATACATGAGGCGATGTGCCGAATCCAAATCCATCGGTAGCGAGGCCTAGAAGCCCTGTAGAACGCATGAGGGGCCAGACTCTATGTGGGAGTACTCTTGCAAAAGCGCTGAGGGTAGAAAGAGCACTTGTTATTAATTGGTGATTCTTCGAGATAGTATCCGCGCTTTTACTTGAATAGCTAGATTTGGATCCTGCGCGGGCAAGGGCATCGCTAAGTATCCGTACAACGATTTGTGCAACATCAAATTTCCTTATTCCACTGGTATCTAGCGGTCGATCGTCCTCGAAAGGTTCAACCAGGGATGTCGAATCACTAGATTGTTCCATGCTTTCGAATAGAGCTACATGACTAGCATCATCTTTATGCATGACGACACTGCGGAAAAGGTCTAGAAGCTCTATGATCAAGTTCTGAATGTCAATACTTGAGAAATCGACACCGATTGCCATCAAGGTGAAAGGGATGGGACGGATATTCCCTCGCTTGAGGTGGAGGTTGGGATGGGGGGTTCCTTGCAGGTTCCCTTGCGTAATCATTGGTGGATGAGTTGGGAGGTTGGGAGACGATGAAGAGGGATTGTTGATTCGATTTGCACATTCATCCAATACCTCCAGAAGGAGGCTCCATCCGGAATGTCGATGCGCCCAATTGACAATTAATGGCTTCCCGCTACCACCACTGACAAGGACACCTCGACTCTTAGCCGGTAGAACCGATCCACCTGGTAAAAGGAAAGGATGTAAATTGGTGTAAAGCATCCTACTCTCCCCTCCCATAGCAAAACCGTTTGCAGAGCCTGAAGCATGTTCTGTAACGGTTTCCCACATGTGGCGGAAACCCATTGGGCCGGATTGTTGAAGAACCATTGCATACGTGTCCATTTGGTCCAGATAATGAAACACGTGACGGGAATTCGACTTCCGTGACTCGTCTCGGATTTGCTCGAGAGCGGCGATCCCACCGTTATTGTAATTTGCACCACCCCAAATGCCATCGCTATACGCATTGACGCCTCCAGAGCCTGGTGAATGAGTGCTTGAAAAATTGTTGCTAACCATCGAGGAGAGATCATTGCCACCTTCGAGTTCCCAACTACCCACTCCGGTGAGGGCACGTTGGACCTTGATCAGGCCTTCGAGTGAACCACCAAGGTGATAGGAGGAACCAGCTAAGTACAATGATCATTGATATCGATTGACAGTGATAAAAACTTAATGAACGAACCTAAAGGGAAGAGCATGCTAGTAATATCAATGATAGAACGCTTTGCTTCACTAACAACATCCTCCGCCCAGTAGTCGAATGCCAACTCGGGGAGAGAAGGTCCATAACCAAACAAGGTGACAGATAGCGACAAATAGGAGGCAATATAGTTGCTTGGGAGATTTGGTAATTTCACGAGAGAGGGAACACACATGACCAGCCCTGCAAAGTGATAAGAAACACACCAACCACCAGTAGGAATAAGGTCTTACTTTTA